GAGGGAGGGTGGTTTTGGTAAGGGGCAACATTAATCAACCGCAATGTATATCGACAAAATATAATTAAAAAAATAAAAATTAAAAGTATTGCATGCTGTCTACAAGACTCAACTACATGCTGTCTATGAGCAACCCACATGAAACATAATAATCCAGACAGATTAAAAATGAAAGAATGGAAAAAGATAAATTATTCAAACACTATCCAAAAAAGATGGAGTGGCTATTTGATTATCACACAAAGAACTTCAGAAAAAGAAAAAATTACCATAGATTAAAAAACTAGTATATAAAGATACTAATTCACTGCAACAAGTAAGGTTTACCTTAGTAATGCAACACTGGTTTAAAGGCTGAAAAGTAATTACTATAATTCACATAACAGGCTTAAAAATAAAAACCTCATTATCCTATCAATAGAAGCAGAAAAACCATTTGTCAAAATTCAACATCCATTCACAAAAATAATAATAAAAAACCTTAGCAAATTAGGAATAAAAGGAAACTTGCTCAATTTGATAAAAGGTATCTACAGAAACACTTGCAGTATATATCATTCTTAATCTTAACATACTGAATGTTTTACCCTAAGATCAGAAACAAGACAAGGGTGTCTGCTCTCACCACCTTAATTCAACATCATAGTAGAAGTACTAGCCAGCTCATAAAGGCAAGAAAAAGACATAAAAGAGATTCCGATTGGAAAAGAAGTAATAAAACTGTCTCTATTCATAGACGACATGGTTGTTTACACAGGAAATCTTAAGAAATCAACCCACAAAACTCCTAGAACTAATGAGTTTAACAAGGTCACAGGTTACATATCAGTAAACAAAAGTCAATAGTATTGCTATCCATTATTAATAAAATTTTGAAAACCAAAATTTTAAAAAATACTATTTCCAATAGATAAAATATTAAATACTTACTAGCAGAAAAAGAAGTCAAGAAAGCAAGTCCATTTACAATAGCCACCAAGAAGATTAATTACCTAGGGATAAATTTAACTAAGGAGGTGAAAGATCTCTACAATGAGAACTACAAATCACTGCCGAAAGAAATTAAAGAAGACATGGGCTGGCCCCGTTGCTCACTTGGAAGAGTGTGGCGCTGGTAGCGCCAAGGCCACGGGTTCGGATCCTATATAGGCATGGCCAGTGTGCTCGCTGGCTGAGTGTGGTGCAGACCGTGCTGTGCCAAGGGTTGCGATCCCCTTGCTGGTCAAAAAAAAGAAATTAAAGAGGACACAAAATGATGGCAAAATATTCCATGTTCATGGATTGAAATAACTAATGTTGTGAAAATATCCATACTACCCAAAACAATCTACAGATTCAATGCAATCTCCATCAAAATACCAATAACATTCTTCATGGATATAGAAAAAAAAAAAAAAAAACAATCCTAACATTCATATGGAACAGCAGAAGACCCTGGTTAGCCAAAGCAATCCTTACCAAAAAAAAAAAAAAAGCCAGAGGCATTACATTTCCTGACTTCAAATTATACCACAAAGCTATAGCAACCAAAACAGCATGATACTGGAATAAAAACAGACACATGGACCAATGGAATAGAATGGAGAGCCCAGAAATCAATCCACATACTTACAGCCAAGAGATCTTCAACAAAGGCACCAAGAAAATAAATTGGGGAAAGGACAGTCTCTTCAATAAATGATGCTAGGAAAACTGGATATCCATATGTAGAAGAATGAAACTAGACTTGTACCTCTTGCCATATACCAAAATCAACTTAAAGTGGATTAAAGACTTAAATGTAAGACCTGAAACATAGGTATAAATCTAACAAAATCTGCTTAGAATCTTATGCTGAAAAGTATAAAATATTTATGGAACATATTAAAGAAGATCTAAATAAATGAAGAGATATATAAAATTTTTGGATTGGAAGACTCAATATAGTTGAGATA